GAATCTGATAATAGTCAACGTAAATGCTATGACACTAACAAAACCAAGAATCAATGCGGTTTTCCTTGCTAGATATTTATAGATGATCACGTAATATTGGCTCATTTTTCTCGAAGCTTTCAATATATTATTCGATTTCATGGCATATTTTGTCTAGAACGAAAAAAATAGCACTAGAGCAGACAGCATTGAGAAAAAGCTAGCCTCCATCTACTTCACAGGTTTCTTGAAATACGATGGGATATATGATGCACGTATGGTGCAAGTAAGGCGAAATTCCAGCAGCATCTATTTTTTTCTCTGCGACATTATCTGAAAAAGCAATTTTTGTCGATCGTGAAAGTTCATCTTAAACAATTTTTTGTTGCATCCTGGGTTCTGAAAATTCAAAAAATTGTATGTATTTGAAAACTTACATCCGGGAATTTTAATGGAATCCGAATCGATCTCACTTTGTGTTTTGATAAGAGTCCACCGTGGACATCTTCCGTATTTGCCAGTGCTAGCACTCGCACTTAGCCACACTGGTTTTAGGAAAATTAATTTGTATGTGATAAACATTGATAAAGCTATTGATCACCAATTGCTCTCTCATACTATTAACATAGTAAATAAAATTGTACTTCGGGAAAACTACATTACTCTTCTGGACGTTGGTATACCAAAAACCGATGACTTTGGGTTCACCCTGACAGACTGTGCACTTACCTATCTATACAAACGATATGAAAAGTTCCCAGCCGAATGTCAGTATATTATTTTGACAAACGCTGATAACTTTTATTCTCAAGATTTGGGAAAGAACGTTGTTCCACATATGGTTGCTAAAAAAGATATTATTGCATGGGACTTTGTATCTCGGTACTACCGACCTGAATTCATACATGTGAATCCAAACAAAAATCAGGCGGAGCCTCTTATTATTGATGCAGGGACGGCCAAATGCATACCAGTGAAGTTCCGTATTGGATATGCAGATTTGGGAGCAGTTGCTTATCGACTTGCATTTTTGAAGCAACACAGACTGCATATTCATTATCCTAATGGAACCTATAATAACCTTTCAGATGGCTTTTTCGTAGAAACAGCAGCTAATCTCACAAATTCTTCAGCTATTTTGAGACAAACCCTCTACATTCACCAGTAAATATCTGAATCTTTCAATAGCATATTTGATGCCAGAGTTACGTGTGAGATGGAATTGAACGAAAAAAGCGTGTTAGCACAGCCCCTTTGGGGCTAAAATGTGGAACTCACATATATCCCTTCGGGTTACTAAAATAATTCAAAATAATTCATCTGAAAAATCTACCCTGATCTCCAAAACCTATAATTAGATCATTGCCTATTTGCACTTATGTCTGAAATTGAGTATTAATTGTTAGCTCGTATATTTAACAAGGGCAGAGACTGGTTACTATGGTCTGTAATGGTACCCTAAGCTAGTTACTAGGGTCTGTAATGCTACCCTAAGCTACTTACTATGGTCTGTAATGGGCAAACATTGCGTTTTTTGTGTAGTCTGTAATTGGAAAAGGAAGAAATAGCAGCCTAATTAGTCAAGCTCCTGATTAGCACAATTTTAAACTCATTAATGTCTGTAATGGGGAGAGGGGGAGCCGCAAAAATCTCGCTTTTAAACTTACACTCACCATTTTCTTCGAAAATATACGTGAGTTCCACAAAATTGTCCGGTACTCAGCCAACCAGACAACAAAACATAACGCGGGAAAATGCGGAAAATTTTAACGAAAAACCAGCGTGAAAACCGCACTTTTTTTGAATTTTTTGGATCTTTTTTCTTCGTTGCCACTTATTGATGCGTTCAAAATTGCACCGCATTACAACGCATTAATCTGATTTCCCAAAAAAAGAATATCAAAATACTGCGCATTCTCCTACTTATTCCGTTCCTGTTTACAATGTGCTCCAAACCGTTCTTTTGCCTAGCTTGTCTGCCACGATATAATTAAGATCCACCCTCTAAAAAAGCTGTTAGCGCAATCCCTTTGGGATTAAAAATGTGAAACACGATGTACCCAATAAAATTGATGGCTTGGAAATCCTTTAGAGAATTGAATTTTTCTTGGTATTGTGGAATAGATTCATATGGAATAGTACAATAAAAGTGTATATATTAAACTATAGAATGGTTTTAAAGGATTAAACTGATTGTATTAATTGTATGTAGTGAAATAGCTATATAAATAATACTTTTATAGTTCACGGAAATATTGTGGTAGAAAAATTTTATTTTTTTTATATTAGGAAATTTCTTTTTCAGAGTAATTATTAAAAGTAGAGAGTAGAAATAAGTTGAATCGGTTTTCAAATTATTATTTTTTTTTGTTTTTGTCACGATTGATATATGTTTCATTTTATTTTGCAGAGTTAGATTGATACTTTATTTGTAAAATATCGCAAGTGACCACATATTTGAGTTAGAACTAATGTATCGGTTGAATTATGCTCTGCGAAATATGCCTGAGTATTACAATGGTATTTGTTAGTAATATACGTGAAGAAACATTAATGGTATATCACATTTGGAAGTTTAGTATTTTCAGAGAGTCTAGTAAGTATATAAAAAAGAGTATCTTTTAGTATATGCATTAAAGATGACAGAGACTGAAAATAAAATATCACTGTTATGCTGACATCATGAATGAATTCTATGAGAAAGATAATCACATTAGAAAATAAATATAATATGAATATGAAGATCATTTCTTCAAATGATAGAAATCTATTGATGTCTTTTTTTATACTTTTGTTTGCAAAATTTATTTAATTATTTTCAATGTTATTTAATGTGATAGTATTTATATTCAGTTTTAGGATTAAAGTTAATTAAGATATTTATCAAAGATAATGCAAGTAAAACATTTTCGTCTTCAATTAAATCATTTTGACAAAGTTCATGATGATTGCATTCTTCTAATAAAGCTTCAATTTGAGATGTTTTGATAACAAATGCAAATGTCTTCTGATTAGTATCTATAACATTAAGTTTCATTTGTTTTTGTTCAACTGAATGTTTTATATATAATGATTTTGATTTGCATGCTATGCATCTTACGGTTTTATTATTACATTCAACATTCGATGAGTAACACTTTGGACAGATACAACGTTGTTCTATTAATCCAATTGAAGATATCACACCGACTATTGTTGATTCTTGTATGATTTGAATAGAATTACAACCCATAACATCAGGAATATCTTCGATAGGTTCAAATCTAGTAATTATTATAAATGTTTCATGTCAGAAATAAACGCTGAAATATGATATTTAGCACTTTAAAAAGTTTTTATGCCAAGTAAACAGAAGAAATCCGATAGGTAACAAATGAAAAAAAAGCGCTCACTTTGTATGTGTTGTTGTTGTTATTGATAGCTCATCATTGAATATTTTGACTTTTGCTAATTTAATTAAATAACATTGATCTTTTTTTATTGAATCAAAATTATTTTCCCATATATTCATATTAATAAAATCACTTTTATCAGCTACTATCGTAGTTCTTTTGAGTTTTTGAACTCGCTTTTGTGCATTGTTAAAGACGACAGCTTCATCCTCAACAGAAGAAAATAAATTGTAACGGTGAACTACAGTAAGATAAGATGAAATTCTTACATAACCTATATCGATTATTTTACAGTTGAATGATATATACTCTTCATCTGACATCGATTGAATATTTCTAATGGTAGTTATTTGTGTACATTGAGGTGTTAATAATAAAGATATTGATGTAGCGATGGTTTCAGAAGTTGCAGTATATGTTTTTTCGCCACTAGGTTTTAGCTTGTTTACCCAAGTAAGCAAAAAACGAAGGGAGACTGCCGACATGACTAGTCAGAAATGTCCGCAGCTGCCGTCAAGTCTAGTCTGAAACGTCTTGCATACCCGTCTTGTCTAGTCAGCTTAATGAGGAGTGTCTTGCAAACACGT